CGCTCTTGGGAACCTTCGGTTTTACATGGTAGCGGAGCACTACGGTGCTCAGGGACGACAGTGTGAAGTTTGAAGTCTGAGAGTGGTGGCCATGGGAGATAAGGATCCGTTCAAGGAGTTGACGTTCAATGGCTCCCCCTCAGAGTACAGACTTTTCAGGAGGAAGATCCTCTTGAGCGTGGCTTCTCTGGAGGAGAAGCATGTGCACCTCGCCGGGCCAAGAATCCTAAGTCGGTTGTCTGGAGAGGCCTGGCGAGCGACGGAGCATCTCTCGATCGGAGAGCTGCGTTCCGAGAAGGGATGGTTGTGTGTGCTCCGGGCCTTGGACGATCACTATCGTTACTTGCCGGAGACGGAGCTCAACGAGTGTGTGGATGAGTTCTTGTTTCATCTGAAACGCCGCGCCCATGAGGGGCCGACGGCGTTTGTGTCTCGCTTCAAGGCGGTGCTCAACAGATTGGAGTCCTTAGTGGCCGCGGAGAAGGCGACCCAGAAGGGCTCTACAAAGAGACGCCGTGCTGCTGACAAGAAGGCAAGCAGCTCTAGCGGGAGCTCCTCAGACAGCTTTGGTTCTGGGCCAGCCGTGGACGAGCCGCGGCTGACGAAGGAGAAAGTGGAGGCCGCCGCCAGCGCGGCCCCAGCGGCGACCGCGGAAGTGCCAGCCCAAGACTCCAAGGGCCCAAGGACGGTTGGCAGTTTCGTGGATTCGCCGAAGAGGCAACCACCTTCGGCTGGTGGAGGATCCCACCACAGCCGTGGGACCCAGAAGGCTGATGAGGAACGAGCCCAAAGGCGCATGCTCGAGAACCTGGGCAAGCTCGAGGCAGGTCACCTTCGTGTCCGGCCCATCTTTCCAGAAGTCATTCTGGGCCACCTCTTCATGCGGAAGTATGGCTTGACCAGGGAGCAGCGCAGCCAAGTTATCCGCTCTACAGGCGGGTCGTGCCGGTTCAAGGATGTGGAGAAAGTCATCCGGGCCTCCGACTACGAGGACAAGACGGCCGACTCGCACGGTCGCGGAGGAGTTCAGCGACCAAGTCGTTCAGGAAATGTGATGGCCGCTGAAGAAGACAGCAGCCTGAGCGAACCCTCGCTGTCCGATGGCGAGGTGTGTGAGGCTGAGGATGAGAGCGCGGACACCGAGGACCGCGAGGAGCTGGAGGAAGCCTATGAGGTGCAGAAGAAGGCGAAGCAGGACGCCAAGAAGGCCTACCGGAACTACAAGGACAGCAGAAAACGAGTCCGGGATATCAGAAAGGACCGGCAGCCGTACATGCCGGTGGTGGCGATACCGCCGCCGACTTCTGCCCCTATACATGGCGATGCTCAACCCATCCAGCCCACGTTCAAGTACGACCGAAAGACCGGCCGGAAGGACAAGGCAAAGGGCGGCGGCAAACGAGGCCGCCGGGAAGACGTGAGCCTTGTGCAATCCGAGCTGGTGACGGAGTTCTCCTATATGGTCGCGACGGAGGACGTCGACGAGCATGACGTCTACTCCGTTACGGTTCCAGCGGGCCTGGCGGTGATCGACACTGGATGCACCACTTCGGTGATTGGCGAGGAGACGGCGGCCCGCTACACCGAGTACTTCCGGAACCGGTGCCTGCCAGAACCTGTGGCAGTGACACTACCACCAGTGCAGCTGAAGGGCTTCAATGGACTTCGTACGACCACGGAGCGAGGCCTACGGTGGACTGTGAAGTTGGGAAGCCTCTGGGGTCAGATCACGACCTACGTGGTGGAAGGATCGGCTCCATTCCTCCTGTCACGGAAGGTGCTTCAAGGGATGGAGGCGAAGATCGACCTCGGGAAATGCACCCTGACAAGCACAAAGCACGGCTTATGCGATGAGCCCCTGGCCCAAGCTGGCAATGGTCATCTGTTGCTGTCCTTGGTGCCACCTGATGAGGCCGAGGACCTGTTTGCAGTACGAGACTGTGAGCCTACAGCCGGTTTACATGCCATGTCTGATTCAGAAGCTGCCCCACTAACACCCGAGAGTTCTACCAACGACCAGTGTAGCCCTACAAAGGTGACGAACCTTGACCGGAGACGACATTTTCAGACGATCATGAAGCATACCCGGTATAGTCAGGTTGATGTAGGCTCCCATAGGTACCAACTTCGGATGTTGTTTGGTGAAGACGTAGATTTTGCTCTGTGCGCCTACCGTCCCAGGTTCGAAAGGATGCCAAAGCAAGCTGCCAGCCATCATATGTACACATGTGTGGCACACCTGACCCCGAGTGGGGTGCTAGAGCAAACATCCTGGAACCCCCGTGGACCTTCGGCCAGGAGGGCGGCATTCGATCGACCAGGAGCGTGCATTTTTGCATACCGGTATGAGAGGCCGGCGGCAGTTACGGATGATAACCTCTCCCCCGACCCTAAGGACCTTACGGCTCATAACCCCGTAGATCGTGTAGTTCACAGCCCCGCGAGCTCTAACCGTGCCACATGCCACACGAGGCCTGCGACACCGCCGAGCGAGACTTGTGATTGCTGTGCAACGGAAGCCACCCTTGCCGGAAACCCGAAGTGCTTGGATGAAAACCCTACTGTTTCCCAAGACCTCGAAGCCGTCTATGAAGAGTTAGACTGGGTCACCTTAGAACACCTTCCTCTGCCAGCCAAATGCAGGAGTAAGATTGCCAGTCAAGTAGAAGCTGTTCGTAGGGTCCCTTTCCAACTGGCCCTGGCTAATCTCGAAAGTAATCCTGAGCAAGTTGAAGCTGAACTGTCGGAGTGGCTAGGCAAACAGTCTGGTATGCTAAAGAAGCCGGTGGGATTCATCGAAGTGTTTGCTGGTTCCGCGTCCCTGTCTCACCAGTGTGAGCGCACAAGGGGACTGGCGAGCATATGCCTGGGTCCGGCTTTTGGTCAAGACTTCTCTCGTGCCCGAGATAGGCGGTTATTCTTGCTTCTGCTGGGTCGTGTAAGAGCCAAGGATGTCTGGTTTTCGTGGCCCTGTAACAGCTGGTCAGGTTGGTCTAGGAGGAACCTAGCTAAGGGGGGTAATGCCGCCAGGAATGTGCTCGCCAGACGCAAGAAGGAACGTCCGTTCCTCCACTTGTTTGAGCAAGCGTGGTCCCTGCAAACCATGCTGGGCGGACACATCCATGCCGAGAACCCTGTAGCCTCACTAGCCTGGAACGAGATGTCCCTAGGACCCGCCTATGAGGTTGACCTAGATCTGTGTGCCGTAGGGTTGGTAGATAAGACTTCTGGGTTACCGATACAAAGGCCTACTCGGGTTGTAACGAGTGATCCTCAGCTTGTGTCAGCCTTGCGTGTGTGCCAGTGTCCGGGTCACGAGGCCCACGCTCACGTGACCGAGCCAGCTCAGAGCTCGAGTCTGGTCTATCCCCGCCAGTTCTGCCGTAGGATTGCTACAGCACTTGCCAGCCGAGATGCCCATGTCACGCCTGATCACGACATTTTTGTGCAGACTGACGAAGAGGCAGACTCGGAGCGAGAGTCTGATCAAGAGGGCGACCCTGAGGAGGCGCCCAGGCTGCGCGAGGCCAATCGCAGGTCTTATGCGGCAATGATCCAGAAACTACATGTGAACACTGGCCATGCCTCGGTGCCTCAGATGCTTCGCCTCGCCCAGAGGGCCAAGGCCCCTGCTGACCTGGTAGCCGAAATCCGCAAGTTCCGTTGCCCAGTGTGCGAAGAACTTCAAGTACCACCCTCTCACCGGGTAGCTGCCTTGAGACATACCGAGACTCCGAATCATATAGTAGGCCTCGATGTTGTCCAAGTTGAGCTTAAGCGGGACGGTCCTGAAGGCATAACTGAGACCAAGTATAATGTCCTCACGGCAGTCGACTATGCTTCGGATTTCTGCCAGCAGATCGTGCTGCCTGCCGGCCCCGGTGTGGTGAGCAAGGCCTTTCATTCCATGTGGTGCCGCCCTTACGGGCCTCCCCGCGTGGTCTATGTTGACCCAGACCAGAGATGGATGTCAGGGGAATTCCAGGAGTACCTGAAACACAGCTCTATTACGCTTCTAGACTGTGCTGCCGAGTCCCACTGGCAGCTTGGTAGGGTAGAAGTAGCCCAAAGGATCCTGAGAAACATGGCCCTGCGTGTCTGGCGTACTACGCAGCGCCCCGCCGAGGAAGTGATCGAATCTTGTTGCGCAGTAAGAAATGAGCAACTTAAGCGTCACGGTTTTTCTAGTGCCCAGTGGTTTCTAGGTAGGGAACCTCGTGTCCCCGGCAGCTTGAGCGACCTTACTGAGCAGAATAATGTAGCCGTGCAGGACGCTGTGTTGTCCGAGAGGGACTTTGCACAGAAGATGCAAGTTCGCCAGCAGGCAGCCGAAGCCTTCATAGGGGCCCATGCTCATGATGCCTGGACCCGTGCCATCAGGGGCCGAAGCCGCCCTATCCGAGGTCCCTACGTAGTGGGTCAGAGCGTCTATGTGTTTAGGAAGCAAGGCAGAGGCCAGCTGAACACGAGGCACGGGGCCTGGCTCGGCCCAGGCAGAGTCGTTGGCACAGAAAGTTTTCGTGAGGACAGCCCTGTGCCTAGAGTCATCTGGGTCGTTGTGAATGGGTTTATGTACAAGTGTTCTCCAGAGTGCCTCCGGCCTGTCGCTGAAGACGAAGTTGCATTTCGCCATGCTGCCCAAGAGTTTCATGCGGGGCGCTTGGCTGAAGATCTTGAGCAGGCCACACCCTCGCGTCGGGGTCCGGCCGGACGTTTCTTTGACCTCACGGGTGAGCCTCCTTCTCCCGAAGATTTCCTTACCCCACCGACGTCTGACGTAGAGGGCGAGGGTAAC